TAGAGGATATGCCAAGGGCATTAGAAAGTGGGTATTGGTACAAAGTTGGACATACAATTTGACGAAAATTACTGTCCAATAGGGGATAACGTGTCTAAGTTAACTACTCAACTTGGCATTATTGTGCGGAATGGTAACATTGTTCCTTTTACTTTTCTTGACTGGAACACTGTGCCTGATGATATTCTTGATGCTATCTGGAAGGATGTGAAGGTAAAAGTATATTTTTGTCCAAAAATTTAAATTTCAAAATTGTGTTATTATTATTTAAACTTTGAAATTGTGTTTTATAGGACAATTTGAATATATGTCCAGAGGAGTACAAGCCAATCTGCATGAAAAACTGCAACAGCATATGGAAGGATCACAAGGATAAGATTAAGGCTAAGTATTTCAAGCCTAGAAGTTCTAATCCGAATCTGAAGGATGATGTTCCTTTGCACATTGTGCCAAGCCAGTGGAAAGAACTTGTGAAGTATTGGCGTACTTCCGATACTGAGGTATACAAATAAGTTATATATATGATATGTAAACATACAAATCGTATTTATATACTTACATTTGTTGAACCTATTATAGAAAATTACAACTAGGAATGCTAAAAATCGGTGAGCTCATGGCATAGCTCATACCACAGGGCGTACTACTTTCGCTTAGATACGGCATGAGGTTTATATTTTATTGTTTTATTTTTGTATATAAATAAACATTGTATATTTGTAAATTATTTGGATTCTAATTTTCATATTTCTAAAAAACTGTAGATGACCAATAAGGGGAAGTCTACTAATAAGATGAATGTTTGGCTTATGATACGTAGAGCAGATGACCCAGAGGTTATGCAGACCTTGGTAGTTTCCAAACACCTTTGATTGTATTTAAAGTTTATTTTTTTATTTTTTGTGTGTCAACCATCTTAATTTGGCATATATGTCTATTCAATACAGCATAAGTTTAATCGTCAACTCTCTATGCTACCTGAGGATTGTCGGACTTTGGAGGCTAGGAATGCCATTTTTCATGAGTTGATAGGTCATGACAGACATGGATATTGTCGCACATACGGGAGAACTGTGCCTCGGAGAGCGGTGTATAAAGATGGTGCTGGGCCATCACAGTCAACACTCCAGCTATCGACTATTGTTCAGATCACAGAGTAGGTTCATGCGAAGCTAAGGGATAAGTTGAGGGAGGAACTACGAGCAGAGTTCTCTACACATTTATAGCAGATGAGAGCTAAGATGATGGCCTTTGTGTCACAGGGGCAAGTGTTGATCCCAACAGACAGGTCCAATATAAATTAAATTGTTTGATAGTTCAATTTTCACACAACATTATGTATAAAATTCGAATATGATTAACACATTACGCATTGACTATCATAGGTTCCTGATGCATCGAGTGGCCCCCGGGCATTTAGGGAATCTACAGGAGACGACAATCCATATACACGACCAGCAGAAGATCAGGTATAAAATGTATCTTTGCATTTTAAGCTAAAATGTATCTTTGCATTCTTTACATTCTAAGTTAAGAGACTTGTGGGAGAAGACGAGACTCAAATCGGGTTCCCGGATTGGGAGTTAGAGCCGGATTTAGCACGAAACTTGGCACACACGACCGCCTAGGCATGAGAGATTTGTGGGAGAAGACGGGGCTCGAATCGGGTTCCCGGTTTGGGAGTTAGAGTCGGATATCACTCTAGACAAACTACTTCCTTAAGAAACTTGAATTCGAGGTGTTAACGCCCTAAAATCACCAAACGGCATTGGTTTAGCACGAAACTTGGCACACACGACGGCCTAGGCACGAAAGACTTGTGGGAGAAGACAGGACTCAAATCGAGTTCCCGGATTGGGAGTTAGAGTCGGATTTCACTTTAGCCAAACTAGTTTCCTAAAAAACTTGAATTCGAGATGTTAACGCCCCAAAATCACCAAACCACGTCGGTTTAGCACGAAACTTGGCGCACACGACTGCCTAGGCACGAGAGACTTGTGAGAGAAGACGGGGCTCGAATCGCATTCCCGGTTTCGGAGTTAGAGTCGGATATCACTCTAGGCAAACTAGTTCCTTAAAAAACTTGAATTCGAGGTGTTGATGCCCCAAAATCACCAAACGACGTCGGTTTAGCACGAAAATTGGCACACACAACCACCTAGGCACGAAAGACTTGTGCGAGAAGATGGGACTCGAATCGGGTTCCCGGATTGGGAGGTAGAGCTGCATTTCACTTTAGGCGAACTAGTTCCTTAAGAAACTTCAATTCGAGGTGTTAACGCCCCAAAATCACCAAACTGCGCGGTTTAACACGAAACTTGGCACACACAACCGCCTAGGCACGAGAGACTTGTGAGAGAAGACAGGGCTCAAATCGGGTTCCCGGTTTGGGAGTTAAAGTCGGATATCACTCTAGACAAACTACTTCCTTAAGAAACTTGAATTCGAGGTGTTAACGCCCCAAAATCACCAAACGGCGTCGGTTTAGCACGAAACTTGGCACACACGACCGCCTAGGTACGAGAGACTTGTGAGAGAAGATGAGACTCGAATTGGGTTCCTAGATTGGGAGTTAGAGTCGGATATCACTCTAGGCAAACTAATTCCTTAAGAAACTTGAATTCGAGGTGTTGACGTCCCAAAATCACCAAACGACGTCGGTTTAGCACGAAACTTGGCACACACGATCGGCTAGGCACGAGAGACTTGTGGGAGAAGACGGGGCTTGAATCGGGTTCCCGGTTTGGGAGTTAGAGTCGGATATTACTCTAGGCAAACTAGTTCCTTAAGAAACTTAAATTCGAGGTGTTGACGCCCCAAAATCACCAAACGGCGTCGGTTTAGCACGAAGCTTGGCACACACGACGGCCTAGGCACAAGAGACTTGTAGGAGAAGATGGGACTCGAATTGGGTTCCCGGATTGGGAGTTAGAGCCAGATTTTACTTTAGGCAAACTAGTTCCTTAAGAAACTTGAATTTGAAGTGTTGACGCCCCAAAATCACCAAACGACGTCGGTTTAGCACGAAACTTGGCACACACGACCGTTTAGGCACGAGAGACTTGTGGGAGAAGACATGGCTCGAATCGGGTTCCCGGTTTGGGAGTTAGAGTCGGATATCACTCTAAACAAACTAGTTCCTTAAAAAACGTAAATTCGAGGTGTTGAAGCCCCAAAATCAGCAAACGGCATCGGTTTAGCACAAAACTTGGCGCACACGACTGCCTAGGCACGAGAGACTTATGGGAGAAGACGAGGCTCCAATCGGGTTTCTGGTTTGGGAGTTAGAGTCGGATTTCGGTCTAGGCAAACTAGTTCCTTAAGAAACTTGAATTCGAGGTGTTGACGCCCCAAAATCACCAAACGACGTTGGTTTAGCACGAAACTTGGCACACGCGACCGCCTAGGCACAAGAGACTTGTAGGAGAAGACGGGACTCCAATCGGGTTCCCGGTTTGGGAGTTGGAGTCAGATTTCGGTCTGGGCAAACTAGTTCCTTAAGAAACTTGAATTCGAGGTGTTGACGCCCCAAAATCACCAAACGACGCCAGTTTAGCACAAAACTTGGCACACACGACCCCCTAGGCACGAGAAACTTGTGGGAGTAGACGGAACTCCAATCGAGTTTTCGGTTTGGGAGTTAGGGTCGGATTTCTGTCAAGCCAAAATTATTTACTAAACTATCTTTGTAATTATATAGTAGTTAATTTTTTATGTTTTTCTGTAATTAAAATATTAACACAATTATATTGTCATTAATTATTTTTATTTTTTTATTTTCAGATATTTCTTGAGTAGCAGTTTGCTTCTTGTGGAATGCAAGCGTGTAAAAATTATGACTAACTTTTATTTTTGTAACTCACGGAAAAATCATGACGAAAACTTTTGTTTTTTATTTACGTTATTTAGATTTGTGAACAACATTATGTATGTATTATGCAACATTATGTAGTGGAATAATTTTGCCGATGTATTGTTATGAATGGAAGAATATTTTAATTATGGATGAATTTTTATTTATATACTGGACTTTTTATATTATTATATAATTATCGATTTTTTTTTTTTAGTTATTCTTCATTTGATACAGGTCATTTTCATATTTTTAATAATTTTATTACAGTTTTTTTTTTTTTTTTTGAGATGGCAATACACACACCGTCTCAAAAAGAAAAATAGAACTAGGATTTTTTGCGACGGCAGTAATGCTGTCGCAAAAGATAGGGAAATTGGTTGAAAAGGAAGACCTTTAGCGACGGGGTTACTTGCCGTCACCAATAGTACTTTAGCGACGGTATTTTTGCCGTCCCAAATAACCCTTTTAGCGACGGCAACACAGTGCCGTCTCAAGAAAACTCAGATTTTCACATATTAATGCCGACAATATTTTTCCGTCGCAAAAAGACATTTTTGCCTTCGCAAAAACAAGGCGACGGCGTTATACCGTCGCTAAAACCCTTTTGCAACTTCCTTTGTTGCGACCCCCCACTTGCCGTCGCAAAAAGTCACTTACCATCACAAAAAACCTTTTGAGACGGCGTTTTTTTTTAATAGTCTGAAAAGGAAAATAATAAGGAAACCACATATTGGTAGGAAAAAGAGAAGGAAAAAAAAAATATATATATATATATATATATGTATATGAGGGGCTGCAAATGATGTCGCGCGATATCATTTTTAATAGTACATGTTATGAGGAGAGAGTAAGAGAGGAGAAATTATTTAGTGATTTAGAATATTACTACATATTATATGTATTTTTGACACTTGTCTGGTTATTTTCTCATAACAGTCAAATTTCATAAAATCTGATGCGTTAACCAATAAAATACATATTAAAGCATCACTTAAATTTGTCCATGACACAAACTATAATTTCTCGGATGGGAGACCGATGTCTTTTCCTAATAACTCGTGATTCACAAGTTAAATAGTACACGAGCAACTTGTGTTTCGATAGGATTCTTGTATTTTCCGCCAAGTCAATCAAGTATTACTTTACAATCCGGAAAGGGATATCATATGATATGGGGGGTCAAGTACTATAGAATTTCCCATCCAATCAAAGCCAAAACAACAAATTGCAACTTTCAACAGCTTAATTAAAGCCCTCTCTAAAAATGAAAATAAAAAAACTTTAATTAAACAACATAAAATTTATTCAAGATACAGAACCATGGTCTCAGGACAAACATAAAATTCATTTAAGATACCAGTGATTGAACAAACATCCGTAAAATAAGCATAGTATACACATTTTCCTTTAAAATTATAAATCAATGTGTAAACATACTGCCATTGAGTTATTAAGATGTGATTTGATAAGGTTGACAATTTAATATTATTTTTAAACATATAATAATTTTTTATTTTTAAAAACATAACAAAAAAAGTTTGGTAAGACTCGTTTCAAAAACTTATTTTATAAATAAGAGGAGATGGCTAGAGGTGTTGATTGAAAGTGATTATTGATCACCAGAAATAGTGGCCAGACGTTGTTTCTGTGGCATCCGAAGGTGATTTTCAACAGAAAATGGTGGTTGTTGATGGTTGGAGGTGGTTTCCACCCATATGAATTTTTTATTTTTTATTTTTACCAACGAAAAGGAAAGTTTATTGATAATAAAAACAAACCTTACAATAAACCCACTAAAATGCAGTTGTTGGTGGCTAAAGATGATTGCCTACCATGTGGTGGTGATTAGAAGATGTCGTGAATGATGGTGGTTGGTAGTGGTGACGACCGGTAACCGATGGCTAGCATTTTGTAAATGAAATTAGATACCAAGCAACATAAACTGAAATCTACAAACAAACACGTTACCAAATCAATCTCAAATGGTATTGTGGCTTAAATTTTGTGAGGGTGGAGGCGAATTGGAAGACCACTCTCAGGAATTGGGTTCGGTTTATACACGACTTTCTCATTTGGGATTAACTTGCTCCATTTGAACTTTGTCACCAAATTATGCATAAAAACAAGGATTTCCAATCGGGCATACTCTTTTCCGGGACACATCCGAGGTCCTCCTCCAAATGGTACAAATGTATATGGTGCTGGTCCATTTCCTTCAAACCTTCTTGGATCAAATTTTTCTGGATTTGGAAAATATGCAGGATTTTTGTGAGTAGAATGCACACTCCAACATGCCTGTAACAAAATAAATAAATAATAAATAAACTAACAATAATTTAACACAATTATTATAGACCACATATTAGTCATGAAAAGGGTAAATTGTACTTTTCATTCATATAGTTTGAATTAAATTTTAATTTGATTTTTATTATTTTAATATAAACAATATTAACCTCATATTATAAATTCAGTTTCAATTTGATACTTTCACCTAAATTTTCCTCATTAAAAAATAAATAAATAAAATAAAATAAAATTACACATTAAATATTGTGAAGGCTCATGCCCATCCATCTTATTATAGATGGCCACTTGACTTGACACCTTTCATATCCTCACTCTAGCGCATCACATCTTTTTCTTTTTCTTCGTTTCGAATGTCGAAAAAAAATTATTTATTTTAATCTAAACTCCTAATAAGATTGACATGGGTTAAATAATCATAAATTTTTAACATTTAATGTAAATAAAAGAATCAATTAAAACTAAAACTTAACGTTTAGGGTTAATATTGTTTAAATTGAAACAATATAAATCAAATTATAAGGATAAAAAATATACTTTACCCCTGTAAAAAATACTATACAAACTAATAAATTTTATAATTTTTTCTAACTATATGCAATGAAGATATTTTGAAATTTGAAATATGACCCACTTTAATGATATGATGTGTGTCACACATGTAAGTAAAAAAATTATTAGATTTATTAGTTTTTATTGGAAAAAAAAGCTAGAGCGCATCATACGTTACTAGAAAATAAAAGGTATAGTGTAAATTCAAATTTAATATAACATGGCTCATAACTGAAATTAATCCGGTCCATGCATTTTATTTTTTGGTTAATTTTTTAGGTAAGAATATATACATACCTTCCATCCTTTCGGGATAGTAAAACCTGCAAAAGAAAAGTCAGTTAAAGCCTCTTTGAAACCTATTTGGGAAGGTGGTGCTAGCCTCATTGCTTCACATGCTACATTCCATGAGTACTTGATTTTCTGGATGTCCACCCAATTGAGCATTTGTCCCGGTTCTTTTGATTTTGCTATCTCCATTTGTTCTGGAAATGTATCAAAAACTTGTTAGGTAGTAGTCCAATCAATCTAGAAAAGTTAACCAAAGACAAATTAAATATTTTAGAATGATGTGAGAATCATATTTTTTAAAAATTATAATAAGGGGAGTGGCTATTTTAGCCAAAAAGTTAAAAAGTCAACTAAAACTAGTCACATCACCTCTCTACTTTTCTGCACATCTTTTCGTAAAAAATTAAAAAGTTACTAAAATAGTCTGTTCCCAAACGAGGCCTAAGTGGTGTTTAAATAAATAAAAGAATCACAAATAGTTCAAAATTACTATAAACACATAAATAAATCACAAAATGAAATGTAAACACTCACATGTTTTTGGGCTCAGGTATAGTTATGTGAGTGTCAATATTCCACTCTATAATTTTATTTTTGTGTTACGTTATTCTATATCAAAATTTTTATATATTTTGCTCATAATCACATACGGATTAAGCTACTCAAGAAGAGGTCGAGTTTAACTTATTTAAAACTTGATTGATAGTTTAGTAATTGATTTTAGCTCAACTAAACTTAAACCCGGCCCAAATAGGCTGGTTAACACAAACATATATAATTTATTATTTATGTTTAACAATATATTTTTATTTTTATTAATTTCTTTTATTTTTTGTTATGCTTCATTATTGTGCAAATTTATAAATTTAATTGATAAAACTCACGAATTATGATAATTCTTTTATACCTTACTCTTAATTTTCTCTTTTTCCCCCCCTCTTATTATGCATATTATTTTAAAGAGATTTTTATTGATAAATCTCATTTAGAAGTGTTTTAACCCAAGAAGTCTATGAAGGAATTTTTTAACCCACTTAATCTCATGTATTTATAATTTTATTCCGTAAAGTCATTTTTTTTTATTTACACTATTTTGTTGGACTCTTATGCCCTTATATTTAATATTGATATTTAATGTTGATATTTAATATTGAGGGAGGAGAGAGAAGGGAAGGGACTAAGGTATAAGAAATTTCAAACACAAATTAAATAATATTGATGTTATTATTTTATATTATTAAAAAATGTGAATATATTTTGAATTGACAACCCATTAACAATAATTGGAACATTCTCTCTCATCTAATGTGAATATATTTTTAATTGACAACACATTAAAAATAATGTGAACATTATCTCTCATCTGATGTAAACGTTCACAACACCTTTCCGAAAAATTCTCTCTCATCTAATGTAGTGACGTGAACGTTCACAACATGTGAACATTCTTATTTTTATTGACAACACATTAAAAATAACATAAATTATATTTTTAATTAATAACACATTCTTATTCACAACATATACTGATGTAAACGTTCATAACATATGAACATTCTCTCTTATCTAATGTAGTGATGTAAACATTCACATTCGTATGTTTTAGTATGAATATTCACATCATGTAATTGACAGTACAATGACAAAAATTCATTTCAAATTAAGGCTTGTGGTTGTGTAATTTGATGCAATGCTAATGTGAACCTTAACATTACCTTTATCACAACGTCATTTGATGTGAACATTCACATTCACGTCATCAATAAAAAACCATGTTTAATTTTTTGTGTGATATATATTAACATTAAATAGTGGTGTGTACTTAATGCATTTTTTTAAAAATAAAGATATAATGTCAATCAATATTAAATATCAACATTAATGAAAGCATGAGAGATTTAGGGTATTTTGGTCTTCTTACCTCAAATAGGATCTAATAAAATAGTAAAAAAGAATATGGGTCGAATAGAATAAAACTCTTAGAAATAAGGTTTATCAAAAAAAGCTCCCTATTTTAAATTTTATTTTTCTTTTTATGTTTGATTCAAATTCCATCTCAGCTCATTTATGTAACCAAATTAATTCTAGCCGAACTCGAGTTTCTCAAATAGTTAATGGGCTCGAGTTTGATTATTCACAACTAATTTTCTATATGAATCAAACTCAAACATTTCTAACCTCGACTCGACTCGACTCCACTCGACTCGACTCGACTCGTATCAAGTTAACCATTATGTATATATTACCTTTGAAGACCTCATGGTAAGCATGGGGATATTCAGCAAGATACTTGAGGATGAAGGTGAGAGTACTAGAAGCAGTGTCATAGCCGGCAATGAGAAGGCCTATAATCTTGTCAGCAATTTCTACTTCATTCATGAACTTGCCATTCTCATCTGCAGTGTGTAGCAAGTGAGCCAATAGGTCTCGAGTGGTCGATGAGTCTTTATTGTTGTTTTGTTGTTGCTCGTCCAGACTCATTTTCCTCTTTTTTATGATCGCTACGATGTCCTGGCGAATGAAATCGGCGTTCTTGATGGCTCTATTTAAAGCTGTACCGGGAAAATCGAGAGGGAGTGACATCACCCCGGCAAGTACATTACCAAATCGATCTTCAAATTGCGCCACCTGCAATCTCCAGGTCATAAAAAATTAATCACAAAATTAGACATAATATAAGCCTCTCACATGTATACATATGAGAGGCACAAAAAATTATGACTCACCCTCGGGATCATATGAAAGGGTTGTGTCTCATGTGGTTGGTTTTTGATGGGGACAAATTTTCATTTTATTCCGAAATTATCAATTGAAAGTTAATTTAATTATTGTTTTTAACCCTTTTAATTTGACACTTGAACTATTTGATTTTGAATCAATTTTACATTTGTCCTTAGCTGCCGGAAATTGTTGATGTGGCACCGAAACTTATTTTCAAATTTCATTTTACACCCCAAATTATTCTTATAATATCAATTAGACTCCTGATATGTAAAAAAAAAATTAAGTATCTTATTATAATAAATTTTAAATAAAAAAAAGAGAAAAATAAATTTTAAATAGTAATATTTACAAAAAAAAAATAATGATTTATTTTAAATTGTCGCATAAAGCCTCGAATTACTTGAGTTTTCCTTAGGAAATTAATTGAGCCCAACATTCTAAGCCTACTTCCCTCCTTTTGCAATTGTAACTAGCTTATTTTCCAGATTAATCTCCGTAGGACAGATTGACTAGTAGTTGGTTGAAAATTGTGGGGGTAAAAATCTAGACTAGATTGATTAGTAGTTAGTTGAAAACTGTGTGAGTAAAAATCTAAACCAAACTTGTTCTTAGAGAAATATTTTCTTCCAAGATTTTGGAAACGACATTGAATGATGAAATTATTTATTAAACATTTAAATTTAATTTAATTATTATTTAATTTTTTTAAATTTAATTTATTTTTTTTTGGAATATTTTAGGGGGCAAAATAAAATTTTAACGTCATTGACTTTTGTTTGATTATAAATGGCAGTTGGCCTAAAAGTAAAATTAAATTAAAATCAAATAATTTAAATCTAAATTGATATGAAAAAAAAAACGAAGAATAAAAATTAAATTTTTTTTTGAATAATATTTAATAAGCAAAATGAAATTTTCTCCTTGGCGCACTTTAATCTTTTCTTAATTTTTGTTTGGAGGGATGGAGGTAAGTGTAGCGTAAAAAATAAATAAACGAAAATAATATTTTCTCTATCTCAAAATATTAGTTTCTTGCTTTATTTTTTATTATTCTAAAATATTTGTCCCTTTTTAAAAATTAATAAGTAAAATAATTTAAATTTACTATTTTTCCTTTCTTTTAAATTTATTAATAATACAAAAAATACAATTATGACAATTGATATTTTTTTAAAAATATATTATCAAATGGTAATTTTGAAAAATTAATATTTTTAAAATATAATAATTATACTATCAAAAAAAAAGTTAAATTCTCTAAAAGGAACCATTATTTTGGGAGGGAGGGAATTCTTATTTTACGTAAAACAGGAAAACTTTGACAACACTTGACAAACGTGTGCACCAAATAATAGATTCTACCATTTGGGAAGAATCACAAAATATATTTGATTCACACACCTTACTCGGATCCGTAACTCTGAGTAAAATTCGACAAGCCAACTCGAATGTATACAGCTTGGCCTGCTGAGCCACCACCAGATTATCGATCTTGGGAGCCCATTCCTCTTCTATGTGCCGCTTAGCCACCGAGTCCATGATCTCTATATAATTCTGCAGGGCCTCAAGCTTTAAGAATCCCAAAATCAAGTGTCGAAACCGCTTCGATTCCTCCATGATTATCATATCCGGGGTGTGAGAAGGGTCGGCAGGCGTGGCGGACAAGAACACTTTGTTGAAAGATCGAGGCCACCAAGTTGCCACGTGTTTGATCTCATTGGAGAACAAGAACTTGTTTGCAGAAGGACCACAGAAGAAGACCATCTTCTTCGATCCGAATAAGGATGTCCTGAATATGGTTGAGGAGTGTTGTCTCATCCTCTCTTGTAAGAACCTTTCAGGGTGGCCCTTGAGGCCTGACAAGATGAGGTCTAGAGTTTCTCCTATTACAGGCCATCCTGTTTTGCCTGGTGGGAGGTTTTGAGTACATTTGTGTTGTTTATTGGTGAAGAAAGAGAAGATGAGACTGAGAGCAAGAGATGTGGAGAGTAATAAGATAGACAAAATGAATGGTAAGAGGAGATCCATATATGCAAATAATGAGCTAAATGGAAATTTTGAGGATGAAGTTGGCTGCAAAATGGACGTATATATACGCAAACCCATGATAGTAACACCAACTTAGTTGAAGTCGTCGGCTCATTTGAAAATACCATAAATAACCAAGTATTGATTTTTTGACTTATTTGAACAGCATTGTACGTGTTTGGTTTTGAATTTCTTGAATTAAATTTTTTAAAACTTTTTTGGATTAAATTTTTTAAAAATTGAGTTTTTTTTGTTTTTCATGTTTTTTTCATTTTAATGAATATTTTTAAAATTTTAAAGTAGAATTTTCTTAAAAGTATTTTTGGAAAACAAAAAACAAACAAAATAATTATCTTTTTACTTTTTCGTTTATCTTTCTATAATAAGTAAAAAAGTCAATTTATAAGTCATACTTAAAACAATCTAATATAGTTATACTTTAAATTTTGAGCAAATTATATCAGTGGTCCTTATCTTTTGTTCTTTGTATTATTTTGATCATATACTTTCAATTGACACAATTTTAATCCTTAATTTTAAATTTTGTATCAATTTGGTGCAATTGATAATGTTGTTAGTGTTTTTTGACTGAAACTAATCACTAAATTTGTTGAGATTAACTTACTAAGATTAGTAAATTTATAATTTTACTCTAAAAAATATGACATATACCACTTATATGCATATTTTTCATTAAAAAAAGTGCTAAAAGGTATAATCAACTAAACAATTGAAACAAAATCATAAATTCAAGATAAAAAAAAGAGCCAATTGAAATTACAGGGATCAAAATAACACATGGACCAAAATACAGGGACTACTGTCTCAATTTATCATTAAAATTTTTATTTTTTTATTTTAATGATGCTCTCTCGGTTATTATGCTTGTTTGATAATCAAAAACAAGCAAGTTAATACAAAAACAAAAGGCAAAATTTTGAGATAATTAGTTTATTAAAACTATTTTTACCAATTAATCCGTAAACAAAAACCAGACCAAACATATTAATACAAACTCTCAAATTAAAATAAATTATAAACAAATTATATAAATTGCCTTATGTGTGCCAAAACTTGAGCTATACTTAGGCAAAGCAAAATCTTGAATTTGTTAAGTCAGCAAAGGTCATTTATGAGCGGTTGATACTTTTTGAGAAATAACAATATTATAAATTAAGAAAAATTATTTTAAAAAGTATATCTAAGGATCACAATTATTTTATGTATTACCTTATATCTTATCAATTTTAAACCTACACCATACATTATTTTTAGGATAAATTTTTAAACAGTTTTCCTTTGGGAAATAGATCCAATACTCAAAAATTGATTTGGAAGTAATTGACTTCCAAAAATAGTATGGAACCATTTTCTTTTTTCAGTAATGTTACATTTACACACTTTTTTTTCCCAAATTCCTCCAAATATGTTTTTGACCGGTAAGAAATCATTATCAGTCAAAAACACATTTAGAAGGAAAAATTGTGTGGCTAAATTATTTTTGTTAATATGGCTTTAGCAAAGTGGTTTTTTGACCTTCACACAAAAAAATAATAATAATAATAAGGTGACAACTCTAAGGCTTGGTTTGGGAAGTGGGTTGGCTTTTTGACTTTTTGGCTTTTTTGACTATTTTAGCCTGGGCTTAAAAGCTTGGTTTGGGAAGGGCTTTTTGACTTTTTGATTTTTTTGAGTTTTTTTGTGAGAGAAGAATGTAATGATTATGGGTTGGATGTGATGTTTTGTTTGTTATGGCTAAAATAGCCTATTTTGTTTTTTGTGACTAAAATAGCCAAAAAAGCCTACAAACCTACTTGCCAAACACAGGCTAATGAAAAAAATTCCTTTCGGGAAGTTAACTTTTAAATTCAAAATTTTTAAAAGTGATAAAAATAAAACAAAACAAAACAAAACAAAATCAGAAAAAAAAAAAAAAAAAAAAAAAAAAAAAAAAAAAAAAAAGAAAGAAAGAAAGAAAGGAAAGGAAAGGAAAAGAAAAAGATAAAAGGTAGAAGGTCAAAAAAATCAATTATGTACCCCCAATTATTACCTGTCAGAGACATATTCAGAGGAAAAATTTGGGTAGATAAATTATTTGGAAAATGATTAGTGGCCCTAAAAAAGTTGCCCCTAATATTCTTAATTTTCAATTTTGGAAACTGTTTTTTTTTTCTTTCTTTTTTTCTTTTTTTTTTTTTTTTTTTTTTTTTTTTTTTTTTTTTTTTTTTTTCACCTAAAATGGAATTTCGGGGCATTCGAGCCCCGAAGTCTAGGCCCTCAATCACTTCCGAAATTATTTTTGCTCTTTTTATTAAGTCAAAACATAGCTTTAGCAAAATGATTTCACTACAAGAAAAGTGAGTTTAAATGACGGAATTTTTTGCGACGGTACATTTATCGTCACAAAAAATAATTTTTTGCGATATATTACTTGTCGTCGCAAAAAATGTGACTTTTTGAGACGGCACAACTTGTCGTCGTAAAAAATAGAGTATTTGTGACAGCATAAAATGCTGTCGCGAAAAAAAAGAGTACTTACGACGGCAGAAATTACTGTTGTAAAAAAAAAACTAGAGTATTTGTGACGGCAGAGATTGTTGTCACAAAAAAATAGAATTTTTGCGACGGTACCAGCTGCAGTCGCAAAAAAAAAAAGAAGAGTTTTTTGCGACTGTAATAGGTACCGTTGCAATAAATAAATAAATAAATATATATATATATATATATTGTGGCTTTGAAATGGCTTCATATATATATATATAATCACAAAATGTTTTAAATAAATGTAACGGTATTTTTCTATCACCAAAAAAAATTAAAAAAAAACGACGTCGTCTTACTCTTTTGAACATTTCTCTTTTCACCCATTTTTTCATCTTCCTATCTTTCTGTCTCTGCCTCTCTTCTCTTTCTCTCTCTCACTCATCACTCTTCTCTGTCTGTCTGTCTCTCTCTTTCTCTATGTGTCTCTGTCTCTATCTCTCTTTTCTCTCTCTCTCTCTCACTCATCATTCTTCTCTGTCTGTCCGTCTCTCTCTTTTCTCTCTGTGTCTCTGTCTCTCTTTTCTTTCTCTCTCTCACTCATCACTCTTCTTTGTCTGTCCGTCTCTCTCTTTTCTCTCTGTGTCTCTGTCTCTCTTTTCTTTCTCTCTCTCACTCATCACTCTTCTCTGTCTGTCTGTCTCTCTCTCTCTCTCTCTCTCTCTTTTTCTCTGTGTCTCTCGCCCATCACTCTTCTCTCTATCTCTCTCATCTATCTTCTCTCTTTGTCTCTCTTCTCTCTATCTTCTCTTTATCTTTCTCGCTCTCTCGCTCATCTCTCTATGTCTCTCTCTCGTTTATCTCTTTTTGCTCTTCTCTCTCTCTCTCTATATCTTTTCACCCATTTTTTCATCTTTTTCTCTCTCTTCTCTTTCTCTCTCTCACTCATCATTTTTCTCTCTCTGTCTGTCTGTCTATTTGTCTCTCTCTCTCTGTGTGTCTCTCACTCGTCTATCTCTTCTCTCATCTCTTTTCTCTTTCTGTCTCTTTCGCTCATCTCTCTTCTCTCTATCTCTCTCGTTCATCTTTTTTCTCTTTATATCTCTCATCTCTCTATGTCTCTCTCGCTCATCTCTCTTCTCTCTATGTATCTGTCGCTCATCTATTTTCTCTCTATCTCTCTCCCCATGTTTCTCTCGTTCATCTATCTTCTCTCTTTGTCTTTTTTTCTGTCTCTCACTCTCCATCTCTTTCTCTTTTTATATCTCTCTCTCTCTCTCTCCTCCACTATGTTCGTGTTGCTCACTCTCTCCCTCTCATCTTCTCTATTTACTAAGCTCCCTCTCGATTTATTGATCCACTACAAGAAAATACATTTTTAGCGACCACTTTGTCTCTCTCTCTCTCTCTCTCTTTCTCTCTCTTCTATCTGTCTCTCACTCATCTCTATCTCTTACCACCCATCTCATTTACCACATTTACCACTACTGCAAATGTCATTTCACTACCACCACTACTACCACTGTCACCACTTCACCTCTACAACTACCATTACTACTACCATCGCCACCACTCCACTACCACCACTACCACTACTACTACTACTGTTACATCTTCTTCACCCCTGTCACTCCATCTACTTTACCACTACCATAACTTCACCACCACCACCACCACCACCACCACCACCACCACTACCACCACCATCTCTTATCCATCATCTTCATCATTACTGTCGTTTCCTCTCCTCTACCACAAAAAATTAGTTCATGATTTTTAGTAACCAAAAAAAATGGACTGCAGAAAAATATTTTTTGACCATAGAAAATTAACTTTTATTTTAGTGGAAAATATTTTTCATTAAAATATTACCTCTACTTCTATCAAATAAAAAATAATAATAAATTTTTTTTCATTAAAATAAAAATGAAACAAATAAATTTTCAATCTTAGTAACTAAAAAAAAAATTTAATTTAAAAAAAATTCATTAACTACAAAAAAAAAAATTATTTTAACAAAAAATAAAAAATTTTGGCGACGGCAACCCCCGTCGCAAAAAAAAACAAAAAGAGTTAAATGGCATTATTTTGTTGTTTAAATTTCATTTTTGACAAAAAAAAAAATTTGATTTTTTTTTTAACCCCCCATTTTTTTTTTTCCATTCCTCTCCTTTTTTTTTATCTCCTATTCCCGTTCTGTTCCCCCCCACCCCACCCTTAGCAGAGATGCAAATTGATTTTTTTTTTCAATCCGCCTACTTTTGGATAGATGGCGAATGGACCCCACCCAACCCAACCCAAACCAACCTAACCCAACCCAAACAAAAAATCCCCAATCTCAATCCCCTCCACCCCCACCCAAAACCAAAAATTCCTAATCATTTCTTACCTCTCTTGATCTTGATCGACGGCGAACGGCGGCAGATGACAAAGAGCGGCAGACGATGACGAGCGGCGATAGACGACGGTGAGCAGCAAGCGAGGTTGCTGTGTGAATGAAAAGGGCTCCGAAGTGCAAGAGCAGCAGCAGCGTTGGAGGAGGAG